TCTTTTTCTTTTATAGTTCTTTTCCTGCTGACTCTAGCGACATGACATGCACGTGTAATTCTCAGCCTGGTCTTAAAAGTTAGTCTAATCATGAAGCAATGAAACACTTTTGAAGATGATAGGGACGTTTGAGGGAAGTAAGTAAAGGGATTTTTGAGATTACTTAAAGCCCAAATTGTGTGAAACTGGGGCAGATAGTTTGGAAAGTTAATGGGAGGACAAGAATTTGTTATAAGAGAGTGCATCCCAATGATTTGAAGTGAGCAGTTTTGAGTTCAAGTACACCTCAATTTACAAGATAAAATCAAGGGAGTTTGCTCCAAACAGACGGAGGGTATCCATCGTGAAGAAGAAATCACCCAATGAGAGTTCTGTACTTGACAAGGTACTAAAAAAAGTGGAAGGCATATCAGTGATACCAATGCCGATGCTGCTAAAGAAATGCTATGCATGATCTTCATTTTCATTTTCAAGTTGCATGTGTTATACTTGGTGTTCTTAGAGATTGGGAGGCCCTTTTTCAGTTATCCAAACACTTTATACCCTTTGGTATCCCTTTTGAACCTGTACTGATTTCTTTGACTTCCCCTCTTTTGGAATCAAGTTGAAGTCGTACTAAAAAAAAAGTTCATGACCCTATAAGTTTATTTTAGAAAGTTCATTCCAAAAGGAAAATTCAAAAAAAATAGAGATAAAGAAAAAAAGAGAAAAAGAAAAAAAGGAAGGAAAAAGAAAAAAAAAAGAGAAAAGGAAAATAGTAACAAAAAGTAGTCTTGTGAACTACGTTTGACCTGATTCTTGTCACCATAAGATACGTAGACAACTTTACGGCTCGGTCATACCAAACAAAATATTTCATAATCCCACGAAGTCGAGAGTGGGGCAGTCTTTCTTAGTAACTCCATCAAAAAGAAAAAAAAGGGAAAAATAGATTAAAATTCCCCTGTTTTAGAAATTGGGGCAAAGTTTTTAGAATGGATTCCAAAAGTTGTAAATAAATTAACCCCGTTGGCTTAGTTATTTTGAACCTTTATGATATTCTTTCTTTCTAACCCTGTCCAAAAGCCACATTACAATCCAAAAAAGACCTCATAGATAATCTTTGAGAGTGCTGAGTTTAGACATGCCAAGAGTATATGATGTTTTTACCATTGTAAATGCCTTGTCATCTGCAAAATCAGAGAAAATAAGAAGAAAAGAATAAAATGAGAGAGTCTTATTGGTGAAAACCTTCACAGGCACTATAAGGCAATGGTGATTTGAGATAGAGAACAAAATGAGAGAGGCTTGATGGTGAAAACCCTTCGGGCACTACAAGTCGAATAAGGATCGTGAATCAGATAGGATAATCAGAGCATTGAAGCCCCGTTTCACGGTTTAGGGGTATAACAAGAGTTGAAACATCAGACTTGCTTGACAGATTAGGCCACTTAATCCAAAAGTACATGTCATGGTCATTAGAGTTGGTATCCGCATCTGATAAGTTTCTACTTTTAGTTTTCTTTTTAGGAATCATCTCTTTCCATTGTCCTTTACTCTGTTCCTTTTGTTTTGTTTACTTCCTCTTCTTGAGTCTGTTTGGTCAGAACAAGTGAGAAATGACTTCAAAATTTTCCACCAACTTTCCAATTGCACAAAACAGGATCTAGCTAACCCATCAAAGTGAGATAAGTCAAGAAAGAACAGCATGCACACTGAGTTGGCAATGATTAACATGCTTTGGGATTCATGTGAAATACAAAGGTTTGGTATATCTCAATTCATGAACAATGCAACAGATCGAGAATGTTGGGTGAACAGATCAAAGGTATTTTCTGTGATAAGGTTGACAAAGAAAGTGGTTAACCAATGACAAGCAAGGTCCTCCAAGCGGAAATCAAAGTTATCAGGGCAAGTGGAGGAGCAATAGACCTTAAGGCCAAGGTCAGTGGCATACGTTGGGGAAAAATAATACACGTACTGAGTTGGTAACAATCAACGTGCTTTGGAATTCATGTGGAATACAAAGGTTCGGTAAAAGTCAATTCATGAGCAAAATACAACAAATAGATGATGTTGGGTTTGAACGGATCAGAGGTATTTTCTGTGAAAAGGGTGGCAGAGAAAGTGGTTAGTCACATACAAGCAAGGTCTTTCGAGTTAAAATCAAAGTTATCATGGGAAGTGAAGGAGCAATCGCCCAAAAAGTCAAGGCCACAAATAAACCATCATATTTATAAACTCACAAGTTTTCTTTGTTTGAAATAGGGACGAAAATTGTGTCCAAATCAAAGCCTGGAAGTTTGAATTTTTTTTCAAGTGTCGTGCCCAAATTTTGTCAGCACAAAGGCGGTTTGAGAAGGGGAAAGAAAAATTTGTTCGATCTACAGGAACCCTCCATGAGGAAAAGCATGGTTCAGGGGCAAGGAATTTTGTTCGTTCTGTAGAGATCCTCCAGGAAGGAAGTATGGCTCAGGAAAGTTTATTCTCGGCTTTTCCGGACCCTCCTGGATTATGAGATTTAATTTAAAATTCTCAGGCCTCCTAGATAATGGGCTTTAGTTAAATTTTAAGACCTTCAAAGTTAACAAGATTTAGTGTAAGTTCTACCTTTAGGAAACATAGTTTAGCTTTAAAGTTTTCACTCTTAAGATGAGATTTAATTTGAAATTTTCAGGACCCTCCTGGACAATGGGATTTAGCTTTTGAGTTCTTATATCTCTTTTGATAACAAGATTCGATTAACACTCACAAATGTTCCCAATATCAAACTGGGGCAGAAAAATTTCTTTTGTTTTGTCTGTTTTGTTGTAATCAGGCGCCCACCTAGAGAACAAGGAAAGACAACACGAGCTTCAAGAATAGAAAGCAGTTCAAGTATTGGAAATTAGGAGCCCACCTGGAGAACAAAGGGAAAACAGTTCAAGTGTTGGAAATCAGGAGACCACTTGGAGAACAAAGGGAAAGCAATTTAAGTGTTAGAAATCAGGAGCCCACATGGAGAATAAAGGGAAAGCAATTCAAGTGTTGGAAATCAGGAGCCTACTTGAAGAACAAGGGAAAGCAGTTCAAGTGTTGAAAATCAAGAGCCCGCCTGGAGAACAAAGGGAAAGCAATTCAAGTGTTGGTAATCAGGAGCCCGCTTGGAGAACAAAGGGAAAGCAATTCAAGTGTTGGTAATCAGGAGCCCGCTTGGAGAACAAAGGGAAAGCAATTCAAGTGTTGGTAATCAGGAGCCCACCTAGAGAACAAAGGGAAAGCAATTCAAGTGTTAGTAATCAGGAGCCCACATGGAGAAAAAAGGGAAAGCAATTCAAGTGTCGGTAATCAGGAGCTCACCTGGAGAACAAAAGGAAGCAGCAATTCAAGTGTCGGTAATCAGGAGCCCACCTAGAGAACAAAGGGAAGCAGTTCAAGTCTCAAGGAAAAATAGTGCAAATGTTGGTAATCGGGCCACCTGGAGAACAAAGGGAAAACATCAATGTTCAAAGAAAGACAGCAATCAGGAGCCCACCTGGAGAACAAAGGGAAACAATTCAAGTCTCAAGGAAAAACAATGCAAATATTGGTAATCAGGCACCCACTTGGAGAACAAAGGGAAAGCAGCAGTGTTCAAAGGAAGACAACAATCAGGAGCACACTTGGAAAACAGAGGGAAAGCCGCAATGTTCAAAGGAAGGCGGTTCAAGTTCAGCAATTAGGCGCCCACCTGGAAAACAAAGGGAAAACAAGTCAAGTTTCGGAGGAAAGGAAGATAATTCAAATGTTGGTAATCACCCACCTAGAGAACAAAGGGAAAGCAACAATGTTCAAAGGAAGACGGTTCAAGTTCAGCAATCAGGCGCCCACCTGGAGAACAAGGAGAAAATAGTCCAAGTTTCGAAAGAAGACAGTTCGAGTATTGGCAATCAGGCGCCTACCTGGAGAATAAGGGAATTCACTTCAGAATGCAATTCAAGTCAGCAACAAAAGAAGCTCGCGACAAGAATGCGAGTCAACAGTCTGAGATGATCAATAGAAGTTAGTCACAATCTAGAATAAAAAAAAAGGCAAGAAGTGAATCCAAATACAGAAATTGATGAAAGATGTGAGCTGCTCAAGACATGACTGAAGTCACAAGCATGGTGTGGTGTCCGGGTTTGGTCCGAAAAGCTGAAGAAGAATGAACTAGCACCTGCAACTAGCAACCGTCAAGGTTCAAATCCAAAGTCTGCATGAAAAACCATTCAAGACTCAAGATCAAGCTTCAGAAGTCTTATAGATAGGAATCTTGTAACTCATAGTTGACATGCTTGGTTAGTTTTTTTCATTTCTTTTTATTTTGATGTAATAACAGGACCGCGGACCGGAACCTCGACGAAATGGCACCTCAATCGGCTCTCCACCTCGTTACACTCCATCATCTCACTCGCTTCTGAACTACACGTGGCCTGATTCCTTTATAGCCAAGGATATGTAGGCAGCTCAGATACCAGAGCTCAGTCACATTCCCCTTTATCTTAGTTTTGGTCTCCCTAAATAAGGGTTGGGTCAAAAACCTGTCTAGTCGTTCTTTGTCTGAAAATACTTTGTATTTCCAGTCAAAAAGGGGTAGTTGTAGACATGTGATTTTTGACCCTCCCCAAGATTTTTTATATTTTAGCATGTAAATATTTAATTTAGGCCTAATATCGTTATTTCAATTACTTTTGACTCTTTTACTTTATTTTATTACAAGAAAATGAAAAGTACAAAAAAGTAGTTTCATTAATATTTTGTAGTCATTTTTAATCTTGAAAAATACCAAATATAGTTTTGTTTTATTGGTCAGTCTTATTTTAATAGCTATTTTACTTAAGTAGGATTAGTTAGTAAATAAGGTCGTATTTTTAGTCTTGTTTACGGTGAAAGAATAAAATTTGGGCTCAAACATCCCATTTTTAGGTCTAATTTTTGGACCTAGCCTATAATTCTCAATCAACAAATTTCCTAGGTCCATATCCCCTAACCTAAAAAAATCCTATAATACAATTACACTCTAATACCCTAAGACCTAAAAATCAGACCCTAGACTAACGCTGCCCTAGAGCTAAAGAACTGGGATTCGCCGTTCTTCTTCATTTTGCAGACTTAGCAAATAACCAAAAAAGATCTACAACCAAGAAAATTCCCTAAGCTAGAAGTCAGCAGCCCCACAAATTCCCTAAAAGAAGAACGATAACACCTAAAACAAAAGAGAAGGAGCTCTCATTTCTCTTTTAAAAAAAACCCATTTGGTTAATCTAAAGAAAATAGCTTCTGCTAGCCTGATTTGAGTTCGAATCCAAAAATACAAAAAGAATTGGATGGAGTTGCTGTTGAATTAAAGTCGTCGATTAAGGTCTCCGTTCGAGGTTTCGATTTTGCTCGTGATTCCTGCTCGACTTTGCCGATGTTGTTTCGCTTGAATTTTGAAGTCAATATATGAATCAATTGGCTTATTTTTCTAATTTCAGGTTCATTTCTTCTCTATTTCTCTATTGCTTGTGATTTTGGTGTTATGTGTTGGATGAATATTGAGATACTAGCCTACTGCTTCTAACATGTTTGGGTTTAAATTTTGCTAGAATTGCCAGAACAAATATTATGTGGTTCATCTAGTGAAAAATTCAAGGTTCCATTAAAGTTATAAGTTAAAATTTCTCATCTAAATATCAGTACATTGGGTTAAAGCTCAGATGTGTGTCTTAAAGTAATTGACTGAATGTTGAAGTAATGTAAGTAAACGAAATTATCATTATACTTTGCATATTTGAAACTACAATGTATATTACTAGTTGTTGTGCTTCTCCATTTTGAAATGTTACAAATTAGGAGATTATGCTCAAAATTGTAGTAGAATCCCAAAAATCCTCAAACGACAATACACAATAAACTTCAGTACAAATGAAATTTGCTACTTGGAATTTTAGGACTTACCATAAAGACAAATAGATCTTGATGTATTTGTTTCTTTATCATTGAAATGTGTGATTTAGATTTACATAATTTAAGTATAAAGTTTCATGGTTGTGCCAATATTCAGATTAGTCCACTACTTAGTTTCCATTATCGATCTTTTGTTGTGGTTCCTGAGTCGACGATGAACGTGTTGTAAGTCGCGGGTGCATTTCATATGACGCGATTTGCCGTATGTACAAAGCAACGAGTGCGCGACATCGCGATTTATTCAAATAAATTCCATAACTCATGTACCTTTACAATAATTTCAAAGATTAGGAAAATAATTCAATTACGCTAGTTGTTTTAGGCGCGAATAATAAATCATCGTGACTATGGGTATGACTCCCGTAGCATAGTCACGATACGTAATCCCCAACCCGGGTGTACATTTCATGTGACCCAATTCTAATCTCTAATAAGGTTAAATAGAACGCGTCGTGAATCACGGGTGCATTTCATGTAGCGTGGCTTACGATATGTTTTAAATAACCTTGAATTAATTCTTTAAACAAATAAAGGTTGTGATAAAGTTAAAAATGCACATAGGTTTAAAGTGTTTTAAAATCAGATAATTGAGCCAATATTAATAGTTGAGCAATTGTGCTAGAACCACGAAACCCGGGAATGTCTAACACCTTCTCCCGGGTTAGCAGAATTCCTTACCCAGATTTCTGTGTTCGTAGACCATAATTAGAGTCCAACCTTCCTCGATTCGGGCTATTAAACCGGTGACTTGGGACACCAATAAACTATCCCAAGTGGCGACTCTGATTTTTATATGAATAATCCTGTTTCAATTGTCACTTAAATTGGAAAAAACTTCCTTATACCCTTCCGGGGGTAGAAAAAGGAGGTGTGACAACCGTATCGTATGACACTGCCTAAGTTGAAAGAATTGAAGGAACAATTACAAGACTTGTTTTAGAAGGACTTCATTATACCTAGTGTCTCGCCGTGTGGTGCACCTGTGTTGTTTGTTAAGAAGAAGGATGGATCGATGCGAATGTGTATAGATTACCGGCAGTTGAACAAGGTTACAATCAAGAATAAGTATCCATTGCTGAGGATTGATGATTTGTTTGATCAGCTTCAGGGTGCCAAGGTATTTTCGAAGATTGACTTGAGATCTGGCTACCATCAGTTGAGGATTAGGGCATCTGATGTCCCTAAGACAGCTTCCGCATTCGGTACGGGCATTATGAGTTCTTGGTGATATCATTCGGGTTGACGAATGCCCCAGCAGCTTTTATGGATTTGATGAACCGAGTGTTCAGGCCTTGAATTCATTCGTGATAGTCTTCATTGATGACATTTTGATTTATTCCCGCAGCCGGGAGGAGCATGAGCATCATCTGAGAGTTGTTCTTCAGACCTTGAGAGATAGTCAGTTGTATGCTAAGTTTTCGGAGTGCGAGTTTTGGTTGGGGTCAATTGCTTTCTTGGGTCATGTTGTTTCAGCAGAGGGTATTCAGGTAGATCCAAAGAAGATAGAGGCAGTCAAGGACTGGACTAGACCCGCATCAGCTATAGAGATCCGGAGTTTCTTGGGTTTGACAGGCTATTATCGTCGGTTTGTGGAGGGGTTTTCATCTATTGCAGCCCCGATGACCAGGTTGACCCACAAGGGTGCCTAGTTCAGGTGGTCGGACGAGTGTGAGGCGAGCTTTCAGAAGCTCAAGATAGCTTTGACTACGGCGCCGGTGTTGGTTTTGCCCACAGGTTCAGGGCATATGTAGTTTATTGTGATGCATCTCGTATTGGACTTGGTGGGGTGTTGATGCAGGATGACAAGGTCATTGCTTATGCTTCACGTCAGTTGAAGATTCATGAGAAGAACTATCCGGTCCATGATTTGGAGTTAGCAGTCATTATTCACGCGTTGAAGATTTGGAGGCACTATTTATATGGCGTGTCATGTGAGGTGTTCACGGATCACACGAGTTTGCAATACTTGTTCAAGCAGAAGGAGTTAAATTTGACGCAGAGGAGGTGGTTGGAGCTATTGAAAGACAATGATATCACTATCTTATATCATCCGGGGAAGGCCAATGTGGTGACCGATACTTTGAGTAGGAAGTCAGCTAGTATGCGTAGTCTTGCGTATATTCCGGTCGGTGAGAGACCGCTTGCTTTGGATGTTCAGGCTTTGGCCAATCAGTTCGTGAGATTGGATGTTTCTGAGCCCAGCCTTGTATTAGCATGCACAGTCGCTTGTTCTTCTTTATTGGAGCATATCCGAGATCGGCAGTATGATGATCCTTATTTGTGTGTCCTCAGAGACACGATGCAGCACGGTGGTGCCAAGCAGGTTACCTTAGGAGATGATGGAGTTTTGAGACTTTAGGGTCGAGTTTGTGTGCCTAATATGGATAGACTTCGGGAGTTGATTCTAGAGGAGGCCCATAGTTCCCGGTACTCTATTCATCGGGGTGCCGCTAAGATGTATCAGGATTTGCGGCAGCATTATTGGTGGAGAAGGATATTGTTGCATATGTGGCTCGGTGTTTGAATTGTCAGCAGGTAAAGTATGAGCATCAGAGACCTGACGGTTTGTTTCAGAGGATTGAGCTTCCCGAGTGGAAGTGGGAGCATATCACTATGGACTTTGTTGTGGGACTCCCACGGACTCAGAGAAAGTTCGATGTAGTGTGGGTTATTGTTGATAGGCTGACTAAGTCAGCACATTTCATTCCTATGGCAGTCTCCTATTCTTCTGAGAGGTTAGCTGAGATCTATATCTGGGAGATTATTCGTCTTCATGATGTACCCGTGTCTATCATTTCTGATCAAGGTACGTAGTTTACCTCACATTTTTGGAGGGTCGTTTAGCGTGAGTTGGGCACACGGGTTGAGTTGAGCACAACATTTCATCCTCAGACGGACAGGCAGTCCGAGCGTACTATTCAGATTTTGGAGGATATGCTCCGAGCTTGTGTCGTTGACTTTGAAGGCTCGTGGGATCAGTTTTTGCCTTTAACGGAGTTTTCCTACAACAACAGCTACCAGTCGAGTATCCAGATGGCTCCTTACGAGGCTTTGTATGGTAGGCGGTGTCGATCGCCGGTTGGATGGTTTGAGCCGGGAGAGGCTCGGTTGTTGGGTATGTATCTAGTGCAGGATGTCTTGGACAAGGTCAGGATCATTCAGGATAGGCTTCGTACAGCTTAGTCCAGGCAAAAGAGCTATGCCGACCATAAGGTTCGTGATGTGACATTCATGGTTGGCGAGCGAGTGTCGCTTCGGGTGTCGCCTATGAAGGGTGTGATGAGATTTGGAAAGAAGGGCAAGATTAGCCCTAGGTTCACTGGCCCGTTTGAGATTCTTGATCGAGTGGGAGAGGTGGCTTACAGACTTGCGTTGCCGCCGAGTTTATCAGCCGTGCATCTAGTGTTTCATGTGTCCATGTTTCGGAAGTATCATGACGATCCATCCCATGTGTTAGACTTCAGCATTGTCCAGTTGGACAAGGACTTGTCATATGAGGAGGAGCCAGTAGCTATTCTAGACCAGTAGGTTCGTCAGTTGATATCGAAGAGTTTCCCTTCTATTCGTGTTCAGTGGAGAGGTCAGCCTGCTGAGGCATCGACCTAGGAGTCCGAGTCTGATATGCGGAGCCGTTACCCCCATCTTTTCTCCGACTCAGGTACTTCCTTCTTATGTTCGTTCAAGGACGAACAAATTATATTTGAACTTTATGGTATCGGGCCCGTATTTTGGTTCCGGAGCCCGGTACAGGTTCAATATGATGTTGAGTTGTTCCTGTAAAATTTGGTAAGAAACGAAGGTCGTTTGATGTGATTCGGACCCGTATTTGTGAAGTTTGAAACTTTGAAAGTTTTGAGATTTTTCTTAGATTTCTATGCTAGATTCATTGTTTAATATGTTATTTTGGTGATTTGATTGCACGAGTAAGTCTGTAGGATGCTTTTGAGGTTGTGTACATGTTTGGTTTGGAGCCTCGAGGGCTCGGGTGAGTTTCGGATAGGCATCAGAGTGTTTGCTGTTTGCTGGTGTTTGAGTTTTTACTCTATGCGAACGCGTGGTAACCCGCACGAACACACTGAACAAATTGGGAGGGGGCAGGTTGCACTATGCGATCGCATAGAACCAGGTGCGAACGCAAAGCCTTAGTAGTTCACTCTACGCGAACGCACCCGGGCTGTCGCGAACGCATAGAATAGGAGAGGGGCTGGGGGCTGGGTAGTTGTAACCCTGTGCGAACGCAGCCCTTAGCTCGCGAACGCGTAGGTCTAGTTAGTCAACCTTATGCAAAAGGGGCCAAAGGTACGCGAACGCAGTGAATAAATGCCCAGTCTTTTAAAAACAGTAGCAAAACGGGATTTCTTCAAAACTTCATAACTTTTTCACTTAAACTCAAACTTGGGCGATTTTTGAACGGGGATTTCATCACAAAACCATAGGTATGTGTTCTTAGACTTGTTTTCCTCAATTTCCATTAACACCCATTAGATTTCTAGGCCTAAATCATGTTCTTAAAGGTAGAAAGTTGGGGATTTGGGTAGAGTTAGGGCTTTTTGAATAATTAGAATTTAGACCTCGTTTTGGGGTCGGATTTCGAAACTAATTGCATATTAGGGCTCGTGGGTGATCGGATTTTGGTCTGAACCTCAAGTTTCGACCAAGCGGGCCTGGGGTCGATTTTTATTTTTTTGGGGAAAATGATAAAAAAACCTATAATTAAGTATTGGGTACGAATTCTTTAGCATTTATTGATGTTGTTAAATTAATTTGGACTAGATACAAGTAATTTGGAGGCGAATTCTAAAGGAAAAGCGGTGTTTGAGGCTTGAGTTGGCTGTGGAAGTTTGAGGTAAGTGTTTGGTCTAACCTTAGCTTGAAGGATTAGGAGTTGTGTCTTATTTGCTACGTGTTAACTGTGGAGTACGACGTATAGGCATGGTGACGAGTATTTATACGTCGGTGTCAAGCATGCACGTGAGTCTTGTATTGTAATTTTTATGAATCTGTTGTGGTTTATTCGTGCTTCATATGAGGATTATATTATTGTTCCCTTGCCGAGATGTTGTTGTGATATTATTGTTCCCTTGTCGGGACGTTGTTGTTACATTATTGTTCCCTTGCCGGGATATTGTTGTTATATTATTGTTCCCTTGTTGGGATTCTTTTATGATTGGTGTTGATAAATGAAATGGGAGCGGGTTGCACGCCTATAGTGGTAATATATGAAATGGGAGCGGGTTGCATGCCTGCAATGGTAATATATGAAATGGGAGCGGATTGCACGCCTGCAACGGTAATATATGAAATGGGAGCGGATTGCACGCCTGCAACGGTAATATATGAAATGGGAGCGGGTTGCACGCCTGCAACGATACTATATAAAATGAGAGCGGGTTGCACGCCTGCAACGGTACTATATGAAATGGGAGCGGGTTGCACGCCTGCAACGGTACTATATGAAATGGGAGCGGGTTGCACGCCTGCAACTGTATTATATGAAATGGGATCGGGTTGCATACCTGCAACAGTATTACCTGTGTACTTGTTTCTTATTTCCTTATCTTTTGCTGGTAATTGATTTATGGCATTTCTTACATTTCTCTATTGGTATTCTATTTTTATCTACTACTCTCCGCAGCATGTTTCCCCTGCCTAACCTTAACTGTACAATCCTGTTTTTTATTTTCCGTTGTATATGATTTAATTGTACAGGTTTATTTGGTAGTCTGGTCCTAGCCTCATCACTACTTCACCGAGGTTAGGCTAGGAATTTACCATCATATGGGGTCGGTTGTGCTGATACTACACTCTGCACTATGTGCAGATCCCGGTACTGGAGCATACAGACCGTAGCTTTGGGTTGCTGCCTTCAGTCAATTCGGAGATTTCGAGGTAGTCCTGCAGGCGTTCGCAGGCCTTGACGTTTTCTCCTATCCCTTTTATTATGTTTCTATTATGTATTTCAGAGACAGTGTTGTAATAAATTTTTTGGACCTTTATCTGTAGTATTCCTAGACAGTCTGTGGAATATGACACTAGTCTTGGGTAGTTTATGTTTGGATTGACGTTGGCATCTTTATTAAAATAGTATATTCTAGTCTTCCGCTTATTAAATTCTGCTATTTTATTTAATGTTGGCTATCAATTGTTAATGGATTAAATGGGAAAAGGTAAATAATTCAAATGGTTAGCTTGCCTAGCTTTCACTAGTAGGCGCCATCACGACTCCCGAGGGTGGAAAATATGGGTCATGACAGTATTGATGCAGGAGGGTAGAGTCATTGCTTATGCTTCTCATCAGTTGAAGCCCCATGAGAAGAACTACCATGTTCATAATTTGGAGTTGGCTGCCATTGTTCACGCATTAAAGGTTAGGTGGCATTACTTGTATAGTGTGTCTTGTGAGGTATTTACTGATCATCGTAGCCTCCAGCATTTGTTCAAGCAGAAGGATCTCAATTTGAGGCAGCGGAGATGGTTGGAGCTACTAAAGGATTATGATATTACTATTTTGTACCATCTAGGGAAGGCCAATGTGGTGGCCGATGCTTTTAGCCGGAAGGCGGTGAGTATGGGGAGTTTGACATATATTCCAGTTAGGGAGAGACCTCTTACAGTTGATGTTCAGTACTTGGCCAAACGGTTCGTGAGGTTAGATATTTCGGAGCCCGGTCGGGTATTGGCTTGTGTGATTTCTCGGTCTTCCTTATATGATCGCATTAGAGAGAGCTAGTATGATGATCCTCATTTGCTTGTCCTTAAGGACAGAGTTCAACACGGTGATGCCAGAGATGTGACTATTGGTGATGATGTGGTGTTGAGGATGCAGGGCCGGATATGTGTGCCCAATGTAGATGGGCTTCGGGAGTTGATTCTGGAGGAGGCCCATAGCTCGCGGTATTCCATTCATCGGGGTGCCGTAAAGATGTATCAGGAACTGAGGCAGCATTATTGGTGAAGGAGAATGAAGAAGGACATTGTGAGATTTGTAGCTCAGTGTCTTAATTGTCAGCAGGTGAAATATGAGCATCAGAGACCGCGTGGCTTGCTTCAGCAAATGAATATTTCAGAGTGGAAGTGGGAGAGGATCACCATGGACTTTGTAGTTGGGCTCCCACGGACTTTGAAGAAGTTCGATATTTGGGTAATTGTGGATCGGCTGACCAAGTCCGCGCACTTCATTCCTATGTGTACTACCTATTCTTCAGAGCGGTTGGCAGAACTCTATATTTGGGAGATTGTTCATTTGCATGGTGTCCTAGTTTCCATCATTTCGGATAGGGGCACTCAGTTTACTTTGCAGTTTTGGAGGTCTGTGCAGCGGGAGTTGGGTACTCAGGTTGCGTTGAGCACAACTTTTCACCCTCAGATGGACGGGCAATCCGAGCGCACTATTCAGATATTTGAGGGCATGTTGCGTGCATGTGTCATTGATTTCGGAGGGTCATGGGATCAGTTTCTACCGCTCGTAGAGTTTGATTATAACAACAGCTACCAGTCGAGTATTTAGATTGCTCCATATGAGGCTTTGTATGGGAGGCGGTGTAGATCTCCAGTTGGTTGGTTTGAGCTGGGTGAGGCTAGGCTATTGGGGATAGACTTGATGCAGGATGCCTTAAAAAGGTGAAGGTAATTCAGGAGAGGCTTCGTACAGCGTAGTCGAGACAAAAGAGTTATGCTGATAGGAAGGTTCGGGATGTATCTTACATGGTTGGTGAGAAGGTTCTGTTGAAGGTTTCACCCATGAAGGGTGTTATGAGATTTGGGAAGAAAGGTAAATTGGGTCCTCGGTTCATTGAGCCTTTTGGGGTGCTTCGGGGGATGGGGAGGTGGCTTATGAGCTTGCTTTGCCACTCAGCTTGTCAATTGTGCACCCAGTATTTCATGTTTCTATGCTCCGGAAGTATATTGGGGATCCGTCTCATGTTCTGTATTTCAGTATGGTTCAGTTAGATGATGATTTGACTTATGATGTGGAGCCAGTAGCTATTTTGGAGCGTCAGGTTGAAAGTTGAGGTCAAAGGATATAGCTTTAGTAAAGGTGCAGTGGAGAGGTCGACCCGTGGAAGAGGTTACCTAGGAGACCGAGCGGGAGATGCGGAGCAGATATCCTCATCTGTTTGAGGCTTCAGGTATGTTTCTTGACTCGTTCGAGGATGAATGTTTGTTTAAGAGGGGGAGGATGTAATGACCCGGCCGGTCGTTTCATGAGTTACCGCTTCATTTCCCCTATTTCTACTTCTTATTGCCTTGTTCAGCTGTATTTTGTGTTATCGGGTTGGTTGGTTCGGGTTCAGAGAGGTTTTGGTAAGGTTTGAGACATTTAGTCTCTTTTGAGGAAGCTTAAGTTGAAAAAGTCAACCGGATGTTGAATTATGTGTTAAAGGGCTCAGATGTGAGTTCTGATGGTTCAGATAGCTTCGGGAGGTGATTTGGGCCTTAGGAGCGTGATCGAAATATGTTTTGGAGGTCCGGAATAGATTTAGGCTTGAATTGGTGAAATTAGAATTTTGGTGTTTTTCGGTTGATAGGTGAGATTTTGATATAGGGGTCAGAATGAAATTCTAGAAGTTGCAGTAGGTCCGTTGTGTCATTTGGGATGTGTGTGCAAAATTTCAGGTCATTCGGACGTGGTTTGGTAGACTTTTTGATCGAAAGTGGAATTTAGAAGATTTTGGAATTCTTAGGCTTGAATCTGATGCAAATTTGGTGTTTTGATGTTGTTTTGAGTGTTACGAAGGTTGGAACAAGATTGAATGATGTTGGCATATTTGGTTGAGGTCCCGAGGGCCTCGGGTAAGTTTCAGGTGGTTAAACAGATCATTTCAAGTTGTAGAAAATTGGAGAAAACTGTTGTGTCTGTTGCAGACCAGTTGGCCTTCGCGTTTGCGAGTGGGACCTCGCGTTTGCGAAAGGGTTAGCATGTGCGACTGAAGATTTGGCCTTCGCGGTCACGAGGGAGGTCCCGTGTTCGCGAAGGGTTGGGGTCATTGAGCTACGCGTTCGTGAGAGGGGAGTCGCATTCGCGAAGGGTTGGAGTCAGGAAGCATCGCGTTCGCGAGAGAGCAGATGCGTTCGCGAAGGAGGAAAATGTGGTCAACGTCAGGTTGTGTTTCACGAACGCGAGGCTTTGACCGCGTTCGCGAAGAAGGATTTGAATGCCTGAGCAGAATGTTTAAAAGACATATTTCCACGATTTTGGGTTTAAGTTTCTCCATTTTTGGCGATTTTGAAACTTTTTGAAGGGGATTGAAGAGGGAATCAAGGGAGAACACTTGGAGGTAAGATTTATGGACTTAATACTCAATCCTAATGTGATTTCTACCTAATTAATCATGGAATTGTTGAATTTAAATATTGAAGAAACTAGGGCTTGTAATTAGAGACCAAAAATTAGGGATTTGATGGATCATTTGTGGTTGGATTTTGGTGATTTTTATATGAATGAACTCGTGGAGTGATAAGGAGTCTATTCATGTAATTTTTATCGGATTCCGAGTCGTGGGTCCGGGGGTCGGGTTTGGCCAATTTCGAGATTTGTGTTGTAATTTGATTGCTTTCGAGTGAGTTTTTTTTCCTTAGCATATTTTGATGGTTTTGCACTGATTTTGGTTAGAATTGGAACATCTAGAGGCCGATTCGAGAGGCAAGGGCATTGCGGGCTCTCTAGTTTGGACCGGAAAGAGGTGAGTAATGATTGTAAATGTTGTCCTGAGGGTATGAAACCCCGGATTTCACATCGTTGTGCTATATTGAGGTGACGCACACGCTAGATGACGAGCGTGGGGTCGTGCAACGTTGGGGGATTGTGACTTAGTCCATCCCGAATGACTGTTTTACCGTGTATTTGATTGAAAACTGTTTGCTATCATCATATTTTGGGTTGAATGCCATATTTGGGCCTCGTGCCAATTGTTTTGGACCCTTAGGGGATTTTTAATGCTCTTTCCTCACAGATTTACTTTTATATTTGTACTCAGTCATGCTATATTCTACTATTTTCATAACTTAGTCATGTTTACTCTGTTTTAACACTTTAAATGATATTTTGGGCTGAACATCATATTTTATTGTGCCCGAGTGGCTTTTAGAGATTTTTGACTGAGTAAGACCGAGGGCCTGTGTTGTGAGAATTATTATGGGATCGGGCTGCACGCCACAACAGTGTTGTACTGGTTATGATTATGAGGCCGAGGGCCTGAGTTGTACGCCACAAGGTGGCTTGATATGAGACCGAGAACCTATCTATTATTCCACAAGATGGCTTGATATTGCGCTTGGGCCGTAAGGGGCCCCTCCCGGAGTCTGTACACCCCCAGTGAGCGCAGGTACCCAGTGTGATATGCGATATAGCCCGAGGGGCTAGTGTTGTTCCATATTATTGCCCGAGGGGTTGATTTTGTTGACATTGTGCCCGAGGGACGGAATTTATGTGTTTATATTTTCTAGCTGCTTTTCCTTTACTTGTTTAAATGTTAAAAAGGCGTTTTAAAGAAGCTTATACTGAACCAAGGTGTTATTATAAGATTTCACTGTTTTATTGCCTTTTATTAGTTTTACACTGCCTTATTATAGCATGTTGTTGTGCTTTACGTGATTTCTTATCACTCAGTCTTTATTTATTATTATTACTCACTAAGTTGGAGTACTCACTTTACTCCCTCCCTGCACCCTGCATGCAGATTCAGGAGCTTCAGGTCCCGCCAGTAAGGGTTGATTGCTCCCAGCAGGCCATTTGGAGTCCACTAGGTAGCTGCTCGGCATTCGCAGCCCAGTGTTCACTCCTATCTTACTTCATGTTTTTAGTTCTGTAACAGACTGTATAAACTCTTTCAAACTCTTAGACACATGTTTAGATGCTCATAACTAGTGACACCCTGATGTCGGGTTGTGTTTGTTCGGCAAATTGTACTGTTTCACTATTTCTTTTAGGATTTAATCATGTTAATGACTTAAATTGTGTTATTTTAATTATTTAAAATAAATTGGATGTTGTGTCAGCTGGTCTTGTCTTCACGAGAGGCACCATCACGACCGGGTCTAGGTTTAGGGTCGTGACACAAAGAAACAAATAGAACACACCTACAACACTTCACAATGTAAAAACAATACTTCATTAGAAACAACACTTGATTACATTCCGTTGAAAGGTTCATTACATTCAAATGAAAGGTCCATTGCAAACATACAAAAAAAAACCTACAAGCAACAACTACATACATATTGAGATGACAAAATTAGATTCTAAATCGCAACCTCATTGCATCTTCTTTCAATGACATTCCTGGATACCTACAAGCAACAACTACATACATATTGAGATGACAAAATTAGATTCTAAATCGCAACCTCATTGCATCTTCTTTCAATGACATTCCTGGATACCTACAAGCAACAAGTATAATACACATCCCAAATATAATGAACCAACGTACATTTTTCCTAGCCTTGGACTTAGCCAATTTACTCTTCCACTTCTTTTCCTTCTCTTTCTTTTTCTCCATATCAACTTGTAATTTCACCAATTGAGCCTCAATCTTCTTCATCTTCTCCCCTTCTATGGTGTTTTCAACCTTTAAAGTTGCCCTCGACTTGGCAAGATTTTCAAAGCCTTCTAATGCAGTCTCAAGTTCACCCATTTTGTCAAGAAATCTTGGAATAACAAATTTGGACCTAGGATCAATTTCGGAATCCTTCCAAACCCAAAAATCACAAGATCGTGGACCCTAAGATGAATAACAAAAGAAAATTAATCAATGATAATTTTTCACAACTCAATTATTGAAAGAATTTCCACTATTATTTACCCCATAGTATGGACAAACCCAATATCTTCTTCCTGGATTCCGAGAGGTCCAAGCTATTAACAAAGGCAACACATAGCCATGGTTGCATCAAATTTCTCCACTTGAATTATTTTCTTCCTTTTCCGTGCAAAGCCTTGTCAAATTCAAGCCTTTTGAAGGCATTGCAACAACTACAACATAAACAGACAATATCAAAGTCAGATAATTTGCCTTTGTTTTCAAAGATCAGATAATTGGATTTTAGGAGAAAGACATAACAATAATAAAAGAAAGAAATTAGGGTTCTTAAGAAGGAGAAAAATTAACCTTTGCTTTCAAAGATTAAAACTTCAAAGGACAATTTGATGCAATTTCAGTAGAATTTAGAAGAAGAAGAAATTAGGGTTCTTCAATTGGGTTTGGTAAAATATTGGGGAAGAAGGTATTTTACCATTGGTTGGGGGTTATATTGACGTTATTTTTTTTTGTGGGTGTTTTCAATGATTAAAAGAGAGCAAGGACGCGCTCAATTCGGTTGTCTAAGACGCGCGGCTGGCCAGAGCTTAGGAGGGAGTAAATGAATACAATTATTTTAATAATAGTGGGGTGTTAGGACACCCATAAAGTTTACTTGTGTAAATGATTTTTCATGACAAGTTGAATGGGGACTTTATGTATTTTCTTTTAAATATAACCGCACGAGTTTGTTATATATTCACCAAAGATCCAAAGTACTCATTTTTGACTAATTTAAAGGACCAAAATTGATATGAAATATATTTAAGATACTATCTTAAACCTGCTCAAACATAAGGATTATTTTTGTCATTTTCTTAAAAGAAGGGGATAAAGTTAGCGAAAGAAATCCAGTCACACCTTCGCCTCCAAAGCACAGCGACACGACGAAAAGAAGCAGAAAGTGGAGAGCTATGGTACTACTCCATTGCTGCCGCAGCGCAACCTCCTTCCATTCCCTCAAAACTTTCTCCAGAACTTTTTCCAAAACCCTAACATTTCGTCTAACGCCTTACTATTCAAGGCCTCTGCTCCCTCTCGTCGTTAGACCCCTTTCTGTCTCCGCCGTCCAAACTGCCGGCGCAGCCACTACCTCCGCCACAGACGATAGTAAAGGTCAGCTCAGTGATGCTCGGAAACCTTATTAATTAATTTATTTTTCATTTGTGGTAGAAGTAATATTGTGGTGGTAATTGTAGTGGTGAAGCCTCAATGGAAAGCAGCAATAGATTTCAAGTGGATAAGGGATAATAAGGAGGCAGTTGCGGATAATATTGAGAATAGGAAATCCAGTGCTAATCTGGAGCTTGTGCTGGAGCTTTATGACAAGTTGCTCAATGTTCAGAAGGTCAATTTTCTATCTCAATTTGTTCACTTTTTTGGCAATAAAGTCTCAAGCTTTCAATTTCCATGTCTGTTATCACTTCTAATACTTAGTTAACTTGAAAATGTAACAAGAGTCTACCTTTAAGCTAAAGAATTCTGAGCATTAGCTACTGCATCGTTGTATGATCTTCGCAAGCACTTAACGTTTACAGGAACGCACACACATATATTATAATGGAATTAGTGGAAAATGTTATTCTGAGCCAGCATCACAAAGATTTCTCTCCTTTAAAACTTCAGCTAGTTCTGCAAAGACACAAAAAAGAGCAAAAAGGGTGTATTAATGTGACATGGCAGGCTTCCACACTAACTAATGATATTTTAGAAGAGAAAAAATGGTAAAATACTTTCATGAGCATTACATTGTTAAAGACACTTTGAATCTACATATTTCCGGACTAATGAATTGGTCAATTGGTCCTGCCTTATGCTTTATGCCTGAAAGCCTATGCAAAATTACAGCCAGAAAGTACACAATTGTATACCACAACTAAGAAGCCACGCTTCAGCATTTTGACCTCGGAGCCTCACTTGGCTGAGTATTCTACTTAGAGTTATTCCCACGACCCATTAGTTAGTACACAAGTAGTAAACATCTCCACATGGAAAAGCTTCGCAAACCAGATATAAGAGAGATTTAAGTGAATTGTTAGAAATCATACCTCCCCTTGATGCTCATTACCCTTAGAATGTTCACCTGTCAAAATTATCACTAGTCAAATCTTTTCCAAATCGGTAAATCTTTTACATCTTTATGTTTAATTTGTTCTGGAAAAGGATGAGCCGATAAATCCTATTTGTTGATGAAGATTCAAAAGGAGCACTCATTTTATTTATTCCCTCATCATATATCCCTTTAAGTCGAATCAATATATTGCATTCTAGAAATTAATTCATGGATCCAGGTAGCATAAGAGATGCTAATTTTAATTGCCAAAGCACAGGTTCTCCCCTATTTTCCAAATCCAACAGGCATTTAAATCTAGATCATTATCATCATTGAACCATAATGCAGGGAATTAACTTAGAAAAGATTGAAGCATCCTATTAGATACCTCCCTCTTCAAGGTCTGAGGTCCACAAAGTGAGATTATCCCTTAGGAGCTGCATGATAAGGGTGATGTCCTTGTAGGATTCTTCACGAAGGCTATTAAGCTCGGCAGTAGCTTCATCAAATGCTTGCTTGGCCAAGTGGCATGCCCTGGTATGAGGTGGATATTTTTAGAAGATAAAAGAGGAAAATCAAATAAGTTATGGGAAGTATCCATAATAAAAGCAGTTTACAAGGTAAATCACTTAAAGAAGAAAGGTCAAAGTACTCAGATATGGTCCTGTCTATAGATATTTCTTCCTTTTGTCATCTTGGCCTCTCTTTTGCAAATGGTACCAAATTTGTGAAGTATAATTCATGCATGAAAAGAGCAGCTGAATTTCTGCAAATTAGCATTGTCTTGATTACTGCAAAGTTTTTTAGTGCTTTGTGTTGCATCCTTAGAGGCTAGAGCTTTGATTGAATCATAGAAGTAATACATTCACATGCTCGGATGAGTTCTATGGAGCTGGTTTCTTCTCAATTTTAGCTAATTGTTACTCACAGATAGCAGGAAGTGGAAAGGCTACGAGCTGAGAGAAATGTAGTTGCTAACAAGATGAAAGGAAAGCTGGAACCCTCAGAGCGCCAGAAGCTCATAGAAGAAGGTGGGTTTCTTATTCTATTTCTAACTGGAAGCTTTAGGTGGCAGGAATAGTGATTGTGTATATTGTATTTTCTTCAGGAAAGAATTTGAAGGAAGCACTTGTGACTTTGGAAGAAGACTTGCTCAAACTTACAGATGAGCTGCAGCAAGAAGCACAATCGGTACCTAATATTACACATCCAGATGTTCCAGTTGGAGGGGAAGATTCTTCAACAGTCAGGAAAATGGTATTCTGGTTTGATATATGCAGACATATTGGTCTCGTATTGCTTTGCATGAGCCTCATTTATCTTCCTCATCTTTCATAGGTTGGTAAACCTGCAGAGTTTAGCTTTGCTGTTAAAGACCACGTCCAGCTGGGAAAAGAGCTAGATTTGTTTGATTTTGACGCTGCTGCTGAGGTATTCTTTCTGAACTAAGGTATTTAATTGATAACCCTAGAACTAACTTAGCAACTATGATGTATTATCAATAACTTTCGATTTTGTTTTTCAAAGAATCTATCTCTTTCTCACCATGTTACCCTGAAATACTGAACCATGTTCTTCCAAATATCTTTCTTGCTACTCCTTTGTCTCATTTTATGCGGCACTTCTCCTTTTAAGTTATCCAAAAAGATTGATACATTTTTTCAACTTTGGAAACTATTTAGTCTTAACATCTCTATTTTACCCTTATTGGCATTAATTTTTGGGACCCTACTTGATATAAAAAGTTGATTGTTACGAGAGAGAAGATAAAGAGAGACGTGGAGCTCTTACCACCTCTTATTTAATTGTTAGTAGTAAGGGCAGTTTTGATACTTTGCATATATTTAGTTCATTTATCAAAAGGCTTCCTTTTTTTCTTGAACTCTGTGTAGGATCAAACTCCGTCACGTTATGGGACAGAGGGTGTATTAGTTTCCCACCTTGTGTCAAAGCTGTTCGCTTTAAAGCAGTCTATACTAAACTGGTAGTAGATTCTGTTTGCTGTTTGTACATATAGATTTCCTCTACTTCCTTTATTGTTAGATTACTCGCTTTCAGAAATCGAAGGCACATGATTGAGTTTGTCTCTGAAGAGGAAAATTGGCCTGCTATCAGTTCTTACTTTCAGGAGATGGAGAGGTTAGTTTAGCGTGCATTCATGGATCAGTTAAATGTGTTTTTCAGGTCAGTGGGTCCAAATTCTATTACTTGAAGAATGAAGCAGTTACTTTAGAGATGGCTCTTGTAAACTGGGCAGTTTCAGAAGCCATGAAACGAGGCTTTACACCTCTGACTACCCCAGAGATTGTTCGGTCATCTGTGGTGGAAAAATGTGGATTTCAACCCCGTGGAACAAACACTCAGGTTTGTCTTTCTTTACTGATGCTATTTTGTTGACTTTGACTATGATCCTTGATATATCATTTTTATCTTCCTTAGTTCTGTTTGTTAACTTTGCCATTTTGTCGGAGGGATAGGTGTTATGTTATCACTGTGTTTGAGAATCAGACATAACCATAGTGAGCCATATAACTATCCTATTTCTTCTGAACTGATTTTTGATGGTAATGTCGATTCTTATTACCACACCGTGCCTCTGAGATTACTCTTACCGTCTAGGTTCTATTTAATGACTAAACTGACAACAGTATCAACTTATTTTAGAAGAGCTGTCAACAATGTCATGCCAAGTCTTGGAATACCAATGCAATCTTGGTTTCTTACTAAAACTGAAGAGTTACAATGACCTTAAAGAAAATATTGTTTTCGAAAATAGAGACTTCTTTTCCCCCATAATCTGTGTTTAATTTGATATGCAGATGTATTAATTGAATTCAAAGCTAGCTCTTTAGGTGAATCATTTTTGTTGTATCGATGAATCATATTAACCTTCTACTTGCAGCGTGATGGTCTATAGAGTATTAAATATATAAAGTATGCATCTTTTAGCTTTTCTTGTTCCTTCATGATTATGTATATCGTTGTTTTCCCTAGATTTTCAGGTTATTTTCCCCACTTTTTTTTTTGTCGGAAGGGTAGGGGGGGCTATCTGTCAGCTAAATTGGTTTAGGCTGATCAGCGATATTTTTACAAAACCACTGGCAGGTTTACTCCATTGAAAATAGTGACCAGTGCCTGATTGGAACCGCTGAGATTCCAGTAGGTGGAATACACATGGATTCCATTCTTTCCGAGTCTTCATTGCCATTGAAATATGTGGCTTTCTCACACTGCTTTCGGACTGAGGCTGGTGCTGCAGGCGCTGCAACAAGGTCAGTCACTCTGGACTTCTTTCATTCTTTTATTTTTCTCTCTTATTCTTTTTAATCTTCTGTTGTTCAACAACTAATATATGATGGCTATTGTAGATAATATTTTAGACTATATCACTGATAAAAAAGATAAAAATATATTAAACTTTTGCATGATCTCACTTAAAATGCATTTTTATTGAAGTGTTTGGGATTTCTGGCCATTTGTGCCTCTAGCTCCTAGTTTCATCACTGATTGCCCATCAAAAATTGCTGATCTTTTGAAAATATTATAATATGTGCAGGCACATTCATGCATATATTTCTTACATTGCATTGAGTAATTAATCCAAAATATTTTGGTGGGCAGGGGACTTTATCGGGTTCACCAGTTCAGCAAGGTGGAAATGTTCATACTGTGCCGACCAGACGAGAGTGATTCATACCATGAAGAACTCATTGAGATCGAAGAAGACCTCTTCTCGTCACTAGGATTTCATTTCAAGTGCGAATCATTATTCCAAATCCACTAACAATTATGGATGTTTAGATGACTTTTTGTTTGTGCACCCAATATACACTTGCCTTTCTTCTCCATTTGTTTTGAAAACGAAATCATACTATGTGCAGGACATTGGACATGGCATCCCAAGATCTAGGTGCACCAGCTTATCGTAAGTTTGATGTGGAGGCCTGGATGCCAGGGTTGGGCCGTTATGGTGAGGTAAGCAATGACACCAAGTCTGTTACTATTTTTTCACATGGAACTGGAAACCGGACACTGACCATTGTTTCTACAAACCTTGGGTACTGGCAAAGTATATAATTATTTGGAAGAGCTGAAGGGTCGAACGAAACTAGAACAAATGAATCACTGCTCTTGCCTTAACTTGATTCTTTATATTCTTCTAACAATATTCTAATCTGTTATGCTCTTTATTTGACAGATATCAAGTGCATCAAATTGTACAGATTATCAAAGCCGTCGGCTGGGAATTAGGTATCGCCCTGAACCATCAGCGTCAAGTCCTAAAAAGGGTAAAAACGCAGCTCCAACACAGTTCGTTCACACACTAAATGCTACAGCATGTGCAGTTCCACGAATGATAGTGTGCTTGCTTGAGAATTTCCAGCAAGAAGATGGCTCAGTTATTATACCAGAGCCACTGAGGCCTTACATGGGGGGGCTTCAGATTATTAAACCAAAACATATACAGAACTAAAACGGGAAGCGAATTTGAAATTAGATACTGTTGTCTGCATCATAATTATTTTTCCATCATCTTTTTAGAAAGTTTTCAAGTGTTCAGTTCGGCAGCACATTGGACAGACGTTTAAGATGAGCAAAGTTGATAAAGTTGATAATTCATTATCATTGTAAATGGCAGATTTGATGCTTTTTGAGTTTATTGGCTCTACTATGTGCGACTATCTACGTTGTACCTTGTAGATAGTAATCGAAACCTAAAAATTATGGTGAAGCTCGGTTGTACTGTTGCGTTAGATCGTGCCGTCTAATTACGGAACTGCAGTAATCGGATCAGAGTCTATAAGTAATCTACTGTAGACTGAAACTATAGATGAGAAAGGCCATACCTTGCGTGGAAGTATATATTGATCGTAAGTTGGACAAACACATCAATCCAATCTCCCTTAACTGCTTTCTGATGGATAGATGATTCATAATCTTTTCTAAAATAACCGAGAGATTAGTTATTTTCAGCTTCGGAACATGGAGGATAATGGAGGCGTCCCTCTACGTTCTCCACTAATTAGCTAGCGTTTGATCATAGGTTTAGTTGAAGATAGCTGAAAATGTCCCGGTATTTGAAGATAGCTGAAAATGATTTTTGAAAGTTAAAATTGTATTTGGACATGCATTTTATTTGAAAAACAAATTGAAGTTTTGTGAGTGGAAGAAAAATTTTCACCCAAAAAACTGGCATAAATTAGGTGAAAGTTTGGTTTGAAGATGAAAATGTGTTTGGACATACGTTTTCAAAACATATTTCCCAACTTTATTTTGGAAAAAACATGTATATAATTCCCAAGTTTTGGGATTTTGGCCCAAAATCAGCAATTGGGGTGATTTTGGGATTTGGGGTTTGGGATTTTGCCAAAATGTGGGCAAAATTTATGGCCAAACATGAGTTTTGAAAATAAATCCCAAATTTATTTTGGCAAAACTCATGGCCAAACGGGGCCTTAGTTTATGGGAACTTGAATTGTTTTTTTCAAAAACTGATCATATTCCATGAACAAACAAAGTTTTCAAAAACATTTTGAAAAACAATTGCCAAAATTTATGGCCAAACAGGAGCTTAATTTTTAATAATATTCAAGTTTGTGACGTCTGTCTATCACGGCATTGAACCAAAGTCCTGGACGTAGGATAGTTGCTTCATACTGCTTTATCAGTAAAATGAGTTTATTGATTTGTTCGAAAACAAGTGTAATTGCAATGTTGCGCTGGCCAATATAATCTTAACCTCTCTGTATCAGTATCTGCTACTATATAGATCCAATGATCTAGTTCAACTCACCTTTTTCCCCCTCTTATTTTTTTGAGGTGGTGTAGGGCAAGGCATTGAAAAAAAACAGAAAAGAAATTGATAGACTACATAGAATTGCCCTTCTAAGTTCTAACGAAATATGTTGTTTATTGAAGCATCAAAGATCTTGAAACACAAAACGTGAAGAGTTGTACAGAAGTACATATAAAACACCCCTGTTTATGTTACAGTGATTGGGAAAATCTGATTGCAAATGCAATTCTAAGCAAACAGTTTCTGTCCCCTCGCGCTGAAAAAGAAGCTGCCTCCAAACTCTCAGTTACTCTGTCCAGATCCTTACCAGTAAGCATATGTATCTGTGTTGTGCTCAGTGCATTCATTGTGCAAAAACCTCAGCTGCCACCTTTCTACAACTTGAGTTTGGTAACATCAATTTTTTGGACAGGATAACTATATGCCTCATAGTTTATTTGTTGTCCCAAGCAGCTTAATTTTGTAAGAGTAGTAATCAAGTCAACCTGAAATTAGACATATCCACTGTTAGTTTTTGGCACTTTACAACGAATCAGGTTGGCAAAGAAACCAAACTGAAGGCCTCTTATTTTTGAACTATAATGGTGCATTAACACATTTAGAAAGCCTCTTATTTTTAATCCCCAATGTCATTTTCCTTAGTTATTGCAGAAGTCGTTTAGAAACTTAAGTAGGAGAGTATATACTAGCCTCATAATCAGTTCGAGATACTGTTTCCCTGCTCCTTTGGTACTTCTGAACCCACGGAAGAACTTCTGGATCACTGGCGAGTAGGGCCTCTGTTGCATCTTGATCAGGGCCTATGAATGCAGACATTACTGCTAGCTGTGCAGTTATTGGAAATTGTATTTAGCTGTTTCGTCTCATTCGTTCACTATGAGCAAGCATATTGTGGACGAACCAAAAGATGTTGCCAGAACTAGGTCCAAAATATACAAATATACTGTTCCAAATAACTACTACTAGTATTTTTTCTACCTGACGAGGGCCAAAGCCAACAGCTTTGAACTTGTCTTTCATTTCCTGCACGCTTGCTTTATCCCACTGAGGCACCCTTCCCTCTGGATCAGGCTCCTGTGCATCTGACCTCCCAAATTGCCTATCAAATAGGCCCCACTGTGTGTAGAGGGAAATATTACACAAACAATCTGAAGCAAAAACAACTTCTTTGTTTTTTTGGATAAATAATCTGAAGAAATTGCTTAATCGAATAACCCTACAAGTACTAAATGATTAGCATTTCTCTTCATTTATCTGCTCAGAGTCAGAGTCGTTTTCCAAGTGACATTCACAAGTCATGGGATAGAGAAGTCTCCTTACATTGTAACTCCAATCCTTACATTGTTAACTCCAAAAATCAGAAAGAACCGGCTAAACTGTACCACACAATATTCAGATGGGGAAAGGAAGATAAATTAGCTGATCACTCTTTTGTTAACCTCTCCTCTACCTGTGTTCAAGGTCTCTTTTTCTCTCTCTCTCTCGCGCCCTTTTGTTTTTCCATTTTCTCCTGTTTTATCTTCTCAAAATGGAAACTTTAGGAGAATAAAAAAATAAACAGAAGCGAAATCCGTGCTTATCATGACGTGAAAGTTTGTAGTTCAGGGGTATACATTCTCCACTAATCAGTGAAATTGATCTCATCAGAAGAAAAATAACCTGTCCGTTAGAACCATATGCACTGTATAACAAAGATCCCTTCTCTACATTACCACCACATTTGCGAATTGCAGAAGCGAGAAAGGTTGATTTGACTGCACTTTGTGCTGCATCAAGCAAAGAAAACTGAGTGAGGAAATTTGAACCATACAACAACAACAACAACAACCTAGTATAATCCCACTAGTGGGGTCTGGGGAGGGTAGTGTGTACGCAGATCTTACCCCTACCATGGGTAGAGAGGCTGTTTCCAAATAGACCCTCGACATCCTTGCCTCCAAGAACTCCTCACCTTGCTCTTGGGGTGACTCGAACTCACAACCTCTTGGTTGGAAGTGGAGGTTTTGCTTACCATCAGAGCAACCCCTCTTGTTAAAGTTAACTGAGGGGTTTATAACATTCAAAATATTTTTCTGAAGTTGATTGTCTTAGGCTTATGATATTCATAGTGTTTCCTTCTGTAGTTTTTGTAACGTAGCATACAATAAATTTTGACCGAGCTAGAAGCCCGAATACGGGTTTGACCGAATCCAGTAGCTTTTGCTTAAATAATATATTTGTATTAAGAAATTTATTAAATGTGTACAAATATAAATTTAGAACCCAATTATGGTGTTCAACTGATCGTTTTACAATCCAGAATCCATAAAATTAAAATCCTGACTCCCTCCAACTCTGCGGTCAAACTTATAACTAACTACAATAACAACAAGCCCAGTGAAATCTCATAAGTGGGTTCAGGGGAGGGTGAAGTGTATGCAGAGCTTACCCCCACCTAATGAAGGTAGAAAGACTGTTTCTGAAAGACTCTCGACTCAAAAGAAGTGAAAATGAAGTTGTTAGCGGAAACGTAAAAGAAAGAACACAAGATTTAACGTGGTTCGGATCAAAATAATTCTACGTCCACCAGAGAACAGTTGCCTTTTTAATATTAACAAAGGAAGGGGAGAGTTCAAAATTACACTTAAGAGAATTTCTCTCTTAACTCTCTACTCACTACAATGTGTTGTATTCTTTTTGGGATGGTTTCTACAAATGAAGGAGTGCATCTATTTATAGAGGTAAAGACATCCTCTTGATGTCATTGGTGACATCAAACTACCTCCTCTTGATGTCATGGGTGACATCAAAGGAGGAAGCTTCCTCCTAGCATCCACACCAAGTCTTTCTACCAACTCTTCCAATTGACATGCCATTGTTGACTAAACATAAACCAGCACCTTCAATCTCCACCTTGGTTTGCGTTTCGAGCGTGCGTGTGAACAACTCTGGCCAAAACTTCTAAGCTTACTGGGCAACCCCGTTGTAAGAAGCAAAAAGAATCAATCCATTGTTGAACATACCACCTCCACCTAACAACTGTTCTCTTCGGAGTTGCATCAGTTGATGCACACCCCCGCCAAGTCCTTGCAGTGTGCAAACTTAGCGAGTGGGACTATCTTGGTCAACATATCTGCAGCATTATCGTCTGTGATAACCTTCACGACCTTGATAGTTCCCTCTTCAACAACATCTCGAATAAAATGAAATCTGACATGAATGTGTTTAGTGCGCTCATGAAATCTCTGCTTTTTCATTAGATGAATAGTACTCTGACTATCACATCTAAGAGTTGATTCCGGCTGAACCAAACTCAATTCCGCTACTAAACCTTTCAACCAGATAGCTTCCTTCACCGCCTCCGCTGCTGCCTTGTATTCTGCTTCTGTCGTAGACAAAGCGGCAATCGACTGCAGAGTCGACTTCCAACTAACGACACTGCCAACGAAGGTAAAGATGTATCCAGTTGTGGACCTTCTTCTGTCAAGATCTCCTGCATAGTCAGAATCTACATAACCGAGAATTGAAATACCTCCACCACTTTTTCGAAAGGTCAGACCAACACCAGAAGCTCCTTTGAGATATCTCAATATCCACTTGACAGCTTNNNTCTTCTCTTGAAATCTCCATACCAAGGATTTTCTTTGCAGCTCCTAAATCCTTCATGTCAAATTCCTTACTCAACAGTTTCTTCAAAGCATTTATCTCTGTAATGTTGTTAGCAGCAATAAGCATATCATCAACATACAACAGTAAATAAATTATTGAGTTACCAGACATCTTCTTGTGATACACACAGCTATCAAATGCACTCCTTGAGAATTCATGTGTAGTCATGAATGCATCAAACCTCTTGTACCACTATCTAGGGGATTGCTTCAA